GTTTTTTGGGCGATTTATTCCGAATTCCTACTTTCGCAAATGACGTTGTGCGCATTGCATAAAATTCACATTTTTAACAGAAGCTGTGAGATGAGCGTGCACTGAGAGTACGTAAAAAATTAGTTTGCAAATTCGCAAATGAAGATGGATGAGTGCGTCCTGTCACTAGTTGGAAACGAAACTCTGGCATCGGTCTGTTGGGATTAGGAGTTTTTTTGAAGAACAACAGAGATGAATAACAAATTGGGTTTGGAACTGAGAAGCGAGGAAAATATGTTATGGAAGTGAAACACAGAATACCATTTTTGCTGAGGGGGACGACGAACGAGCCATGAAACGATGCACGGCAAGTGTCAGTGGACAGCGCGTTTCCGCTGAGACACAGCAGTCTCAGTTTCACGTGGGCGATGTTACGAGAGCGGTATGTGCCTGGAAGAAGAGCTGGGCTAGCTGTGAAGCGGGAAGTCGGGAAGACACAATGAATGCTACCTGTGCAATGTGCAGGGAAGGCCGCTGAATGTAGTAGAAAGATTTGCCTGGAGTGCAGCGTGCAATCGAATGGTGGTGGTGAGGGCAGAAATTCAAAATGGAGAATTTTTCGGATACGCTAGTGGTGAGTAAAAAACGCGGCGATGCAGTAGCAGCAGATGAACAAAGTGTTTATTAAACAAAAGAGTTGCTGCTGCAGAAATGACACACCAGGAGATGCAGCCTAGGACCGAGCGATCTGGCATGGCCTCTCCGACATGTGGATGGACGATTGCCTAGACGGACTTGATTATCTTGGACTGGTTACAAAATCTGATTTCTCATGTTTGCATGAAATGATTGGTTTTTGAGGTTAAATTTTGTGGCCGGATGAAGTGCCTGTTCCTCTACGGCACTGTCGCTGGGAAGGAAGCGATGTGTGGTCGTGAGTTGTGCTTTTAGGACCGGTGCCGAGAACTTTTCATGTGGTTAGCAGTACGGTACAGCTTGTCGGCTTGTAAAACGTGCACTGCTCTGTATAGCTGATTGCGATGCCTTGTTAGCTGTGCAGTACGATGTGCATATTTCAGATAAAGCCGGTTTCGAGGGATGAGGTAAGCGCCGAATATTTGCCTCCGGAAATGAAGGATGGGAATACGGATATCGATCCAGGTACATACTTCTTAGCAGTAGCCCTGCTGCTGTTAATATTATTTCTGCAATAGCGGCGCAACTCATTTGCGTGCTGCAATGGGACACTTTACCGAAATTGCGGCGTAAGGGTTGATCTTATCGACTGTTTTCTCTGCGCCTCTCTGATAAAAATGTATTTAAAGGTGCTGTGCATGTATTTTGTCTTGGCGAGGTCCTTCGATTTGCGGGTGCTGCTGAATCAGGCAATGCAGACTTGTTTTCAATGTTGAATGTGATGACAGTGGCTCACGTCGCCACACGTCCTTCCGTCACTCGGTATTTTACTCAGTTTTGTTTGTTATGGAACTCAGTGACATATTTATCCAGAACTGAATTCATTGTTATATTCCGGTACATTTCACTCTCTCGAGTCTGCGCCAAGTTCTAGGCATAAAAATCGCTTTGATTGAATAGAATCCCTGATTTTTTTCTTTCGCAATGTTCTGAGTTCCCATGATAATTCGCGGTCACATTTTTTCAGACTTGGGCAAATGGCCAAAAATAAGCTTGCGATACAGAATCCAAGAGCACTGCTGGCCGAAATGTACATACTAGTAATGGGTGACGAAGCGGAGGACATCGACGATGTAAGCCACTCATAACACTCCCGCACTTGCCTTTTTACTTTGGCTAGAAATACTTGCGCACTCCGTGAACTTTTTTATGGGTCAGTATTTGAGTTACCGCTGTGACGAGATGCGTTACGGATGCACTGTATTGCAGGTGGATATCTCATCCGGCGAATACGTTCTGAGTGCCTCTAAAGAAACAGATGGTCCAGATGAATTCAAATTGAACGGCACTGGCGCTGAAACAGTCCGAGTACTGTGATTCTTCTCAATCACATAAGTGCTGCGCATCGCCAATTTATGGCGTACCTTTGTCAGATTCTGC